ATCTATTATATGTTATATTAGAATAATTTCTTGAATACGTATAAACATATTTTCGTATATTATTTATATATTGTATATTAGGGTTGATTCTTGTAATTGATTTTTCAAAAAATAAAAATAAAAATCTGATATTGTTTCCTTGATTCTTATTTTGAAGAATTTTTAGCATTTAAATTAAATAAAAATTTGGCTGACATTTTCTTTGACATATTTATATACATCTTAAAAATTGAAATTATTGGACATCATATTTGACTTTATAATAATATATTCTGTTGATATTAAAATTACTCTATTTGTATCTGCATGCACATATTTTTGGTTAACGGACTCTATAATGCGCTAATTTATCCAACAAAAAAGACCTAGGTTTTATCATAATTATTTATTTATATATTCGAAATGCTATTAGTTTTATGAAGTCGTTAGTCCAGGGAATTAAATTATATGTAATTTCATTATATACTTTACTCTGTCTGCGTTAATGCTGAGGCTATATATGACCCGAATCATAAATTGAAGAATATGCATCGTGTTGATTTTTGACCTTGAAAAAAATTCTGCATGATCTCCAATGTGTCTACAATGCTTCTACGGAGTTTTATTCAAATTTGACTTCTAGTTTATGAGATAAAATTCTATATTGTTAAGAAATTTCAGCAACCAAAAGGTTTTTAGCGAGTTGTTTTAAAAATAAAGAAAAAAAATTATTTTGATTTGACTTATTTATAATTTTTATTATGTCTCTCTGAAATGTTAGAGAGTGAAAGATTCGATGGCTTGTTTTTCGTGTGTAGCTATTTTTAGTATTGGGATTTGTTTCTTGATTTTCGAATTGTTACTCGGTAAGCCAACACTGAGTCTGAAACTAGTGAAAAATAATTCTTTCATTGCTAGTTTCTCCATTTAGTCACGTTATGCAATTTTGAAGTGTTCAAGAGTTTTCTATGGAAAAAAGAAAAGGTGAAGTTACTCTTAGTTGAGTTGACCTTCTTATATTTATAGAGTTTATTTAAGGATATATCTACGTGACTAAAAGATACATAGTATGTTTGCTTCAGCCAACGAGGCAGTTGAGGCTTTGATCCACTTAACCTACCTTCGTAGTTCTTCTAGAGATGAGTCATCGAAAAGAATCCTCCCTCGTAAAAGAGACATGTAATCTAACCTTATGGACATGGCTTTCGACGAGGTACTCTGATTCTAGCAAAGTGCTCGTGGTTATGTGGGGTTCTCACATGGTTCATGTGATGTGGTAACTACTCCCCTACTTGCCGCCCTCAGGACACATCTCCAAGTGATAAAAGGGGAGGGTGGAGAAATACAGCTTTGCTTGAGGCTACTGCGTCAAGGGTTCGAATCCTGAAATATAGATTTGGCTCTTGGGTAAGTGCAAGTGTACAAGCAGCCTTCCACCATGTACCCTTGGAGGCATAACCTGCAATTTACCTCCTTCATGATACTCCAGGGTAGGGGCGGTGGAGACCCTTAAGATTGGAGTTCAACATTTTTACTCCCCTACTTGCCGTCCTTATTCTTACGTGTGGCGAGAGTTAACAAATTCAATAATTATTGTTACATTTAATTGGCCAAACTATCTAATCCAAAAATTTAAATCCACATGTTAGAAACATATTTTTTTATATAATAATTTTAACATGTCCTCTCACGTACAAATTGGATTCATTTTTTCATTTTACGACTAACAGGTAAAAATTTAAAAATGAGTGATTTCATAACTTGAATTGAACATCTTAGCTTGCTAAGATATCAAGTCAAAATTACCTCAACGTCAATTTTTACTTTGTTTCTCCCACATAGTGTTTCTTTTCCTTTTCCTATTTAAAAGAATAATGTTATTCATAGTGAAAATTATTGATATTCGACTTACATGACATACACATAGCAGTTTGTCATTTGATATATTAATATGGTGGCATACACATAACAATTTTTTATTGTCTTACATCAAACAACAAACTTATCATGTATATACCATGTAGGGCGACTACCTAGATTTTCAAGGGTTCAAGTGTTAGTCTAAACATTACGGTATAAAGAAAACGTCATTCTCAAGTTTTGTTTGAGAATTTTAGCAATTATTTCATGTTAGCCAAAAATTTTAATTGTCCCTCGTTTGGCCTCTATTTTCTGGAAATGAGAATTAGTGGAATAGTATTTTTTTTAAAAATGAGTGGTTGAAAAAAAAAAAGAAAATTTTTCGATTTACGTATAATATTATTTTATAAAAAATTATACAATTAAAAATTAGAAAAAAAAATGAAATGAGATTCGAACATGGGCTAAGCCATTGGCTGGTCATTACCCAACAAGGGTATGGAGCCACAGCCCTTAGTTGATTAACTGAACTTACCAGCCTTATTCTTTTAAAAATATATATATTTTTTTTTTAAACAATATTTTGATATCAAAAGTTCGAAGCTTTCTATTTGTCTTTTCTTTTGCGGCATGCAGCTCTTTAGCAGTATGCAGGACTTCTTGCGTGACTTTAATTTTTAATTTTTTATGCCCTAGCATGTTCACCATCGGTCAAATTTTCCCGTCAACCCCCCCGTATTATATGGACCTCAATCTGTACTTGTGTGAGTCGTTGCAGTCCAACAGAGACATTACCCTTTAAGCCATCTTCCCTATTAAGGGCGTGTTTGCCACAAACTATAGGAAAGAGCTGGCAAGTACTAAAGAAGATATAAGTTTCATTTTTTTCTTTAATACCATCGAGTATTGTACAATTCAACTTACCGAAAAATTTAAATGTTTTCTTCACTCTCTTAGATGAGTAGAATAATTGATTTGTTGTTGGAACTACATGCAGTTTCTATCGGTGTAAGTTTGACCCGGCAACTGGTGGAGAGATGGCCCAGCTGGACTATCACAATTTCCTTAAGCCTGAAGAAGCTTTCTAAGAAAGGATATGGAGAAATGTACATATGTCCATGGTTAGATTTCTCAAGTCATCCTCTTTCCATGTACTGATTTGTTGGTTAACGATGATGTAATTATCCCGAAGTAGATGTTGTATAACTAACTGGTCAATTTAAAATAATTGAGAAGTTCAAGTAGTATTTTGTGGTTACATTTTCTATCGGTGTGCAGTTTTATCGTCTTTCCATTTGTATTCTGCGGTCAATTGTTAACTAATGGGGTCGGGAAAACCCTGGTACATTTTGTTTGTGGGGTTAGCTACATTGAAGAAAGCATCACCTGAAACCAAAGGCCCGACTTTCTTTATATTGCGGTTTGGGTGGTTCTTCATAATAATTCATAGAATTTGCGTGGGGCAACGAATGATTTAGGTCGTTAGAATATTTCTTGCTTTAATACCTGAACAAATTACGTTTCGTATCCTAAAAGACTAAGCATACAATAATTCAGTGTATAGGTTTATGGTTAAAAGGCCTTTTGAGATTGTCAATGAGCATTCTCATTGCCAACTGATCGGCTTGAACCTTGGCCTATGGATTCATCCACTTGTCGCTTTTTGCAGGCTGTGACCAGGGGACGGGGGAAGGCAGGGGGAAGGTACTATGGCTGGACCGTGCGAGGAAAAGAGTGCCGGGTGGCTCAGGGAAGCGAATAGTTGGGGTCGGGCTTCTATTAAAACTATTTATGTTATATTCATATTCCCCATGAATAATGGCACTCGGCATTTAAAGAACGGTCGGTTCCGTAGTTGGGGATTACCTGGGCGAAAGATTTAAATGACAAGAATGAAAGGTTGAGGATCTATTTGAGCAAATTTAATAATTTGGGGCCTCTGTAATTTTTCAATCATGATATTATTAATTATTTGATGCCAAGTAACAAAGTGATAACAGTTTAAGTTCTATGCAATTCAAACAATCGAATTGAAAGACTTCCACTCGAACTACGTTGCTATATGAGGGTAAATAGTATTTGTACATTAGCTTCTTTTGTACTGCTTTTAGGTGTGTGTTGTGACTTGTATATACAGTTGAATTGGCATGAAAAGACAAATTTACTCTTATAATATGTTTAGTTATGCTTAACCTAGAAATGTGTAAACAAAAAGTGTGTAAACCATTTATAAACATGAAACATATATAGGCTTAGAAAGTTTATAAGGTCATGTTTGATTGGCAAATCTTTTTCATGGAAAATGGAAAATGAATTCATTTTCTCACTTTCAAGTGTTTGATATGGTTTTTTTATTTTATTTTTTCCATGGAATTGAAGTTCCATTTTTTCTTGGACCTTGGAATTTTCTAGCTTTTTAGGGATGGTGGGAATTGATTTTCCCGGTTACTGTAGCAAATATGTAATTTTATTTTATTTTATTTTATTTTTATTTTGTTTGGCAAAGTTAACAAATTCTAAGAATTATTGTAAAACAATATTTCCCTTTAATTGACAATTTTCAAGTAAAACAAAGCCAAACGAACATCAAAACATAGATGATTTTCTTGAATTTTTTAATTTTAAATTTTTTGCAATAGAAACAAATTTCATCCCCAATACCAGTAAATTTTATATCTTTAATTGACAATTTTTATATAAAATAAAGTCAAACTAACACCAAAAAATGTTTTTATTTTAACATTTTTTATGTGGAAAATTATGTCAATCAAACACAATAATTTACAATTCTCAAAAAAATAATTTCTCATCAATTCAATTCTCTGAAATTCATTTTCTTTCCACTCAAATTCCACCTTTGGAATCAAACAAACTGTCAAATTTTCCCGTCAACCCCCCCGTATTATATGGACCTCAATCTGTACTTGTGTGAGTCGTTGCAGTCCAACAGAGACATTACCCTTTAAGCCATCTTCCCTATTAAGGGCGTGTTTGCCACAAACTATAGGAAAGAGCTGGCAAGTACTAAAGAAGATATAAGTTTCATTTTTTTCTTTAATACCATCGAGTATTGTACAATACAACTTACCGAAAAATTTAAATGTTTTCTTCACTCTCTTAGATGAGTAGAATAATTGATTTGTTGTTGGAACTACATGCAGTTTCTATCGGTGCAAGTTTGACCCGGCAACTGGTGGAGAGATGGCCCAGCTGGACTATCACAATTTCCTTAAGCCTGAAGAAGCTTTCTAAGAAAGGATATGGAGAAATGTACATATGTCCATGGTTAGATTTCTCAAGTCATCCTCTTTCCATGTACTGATTTGTTGGTTAACGATGATGTAATTATCCCGAAGTAGATGTTGTATAACTAACTGGTCAATTTAAAATAATTGAGAAGTTCAAGTAGTATTTTGTGGTTACATTTTCTATCGGTGTGCAGTTTTATCGTCTTTCCATTTGTATTCTGCGGTCAATTGTTAACTAATGGGGTCGGGAAAACCCTGGTACATTTTGTTTGTGGGGTTAGCTACATTGAAGAAAGCATCACCTGAAACCGAAGGCCCGACTTTCTTTATATTGCGGTTTGGGTGGTTCTTTATAATAATTCATAGAATTTGCGTGGGGCAACGAATGATTTAGGTCGTTAGAATATTTCTTGCGTTAATACCTGAACAAATTACGTTTCGTATCCTAAAAGACTAAGCATACAATAATTCAGTGTATAGGTTTATGGTTAAAAGGCCTTTTGAGATTGTCAATGAGCATTCTCATTGCCAACTGATCGGCTTGAACCTTGGCCTATGGATTCATCCACTTGTCGCTTTTTGCAGGCTGTGACCAGGGGACGGGGGAAGCCAAGGGGAAGGTACTATGGCTGGACCGTGCTAGGAAAAGAGTGCCGGGTGGCTCAGGGAAGCGAATAGTTGGGGTCGGGCTTCTATTAAAACTATTTATGTTATATTCATATTCCCCATGAATAATGGCACTCGGCATTTAAAGAACGGTCGGTTCCGTAGTTGGGGATTACCTGGGCGAAAGATTTAAATGACAAGAATGAAAGGTTGAGGATCTATTTGAGCAAATTTAATAATTTGGGGCCTCTGTAATTTTTCAATCATGATATTATTAATTATTTGATGCCAAGTAACGAAGTGATAACAGTTTAAGTTCTATGCAATTCAAACAATCGAATTGAAAGACTTCCACTCGAACTACGTTTCTATATGAGGGTAAATAGTATTTGTACATTAGCTTCTTTTGTACTGCTTTTAGGTGTGTGTTGTGACTTGTATATACAGTTGAATTGGCATGAAAAGACAAATTTACTCTTATAATATGTTTAGTTATGCTTAACCTAGAAATGTGTAAACAAAAAGTGTGTAAACCATTTATAAACATGAAACATATATAGGCTTAGAAAGTTTATAAGGTCATGTTTGATTGGCAAATCTTTTTCATGGAAAATGGAAAATGAATTCATTTTCTCACTTTCAAGTGTTTGATATGGTTTTTTTATTTTATTTTTTCCATGGAATTGAAGTTCCATTTTTTCTTGGACCTTGGAATTTTCTAGCTTTTTAGGGATGGTGGGAATTGATTTTCCCGGTTACTGTAGCAAATATGTAATTTTATTTTATTTATTTATTTATTTATTTTGTTTGGCAAAGTTAACAAATTCTAAGAATTATTGTAAAACAATATTTCCCTTTAATTGACAATTTTCAAGTAAAACAAAGCCAAACGAACATCAAAACATAGATGATTTTCTTGAATTTTTTAATTTTAAATTTTTTGCAATAGAAACAAATTTCATCCCCAATACCAGTAAATTTTATATCTTTAATTGACAATTTTTATATAAAATAAAGTCAAACTAACACCAAAAAATGTTTTTATTTTAACATTTTTTATGTGGAAAATTATGTCAATCAAACACAATAATTTACAATTCTCAAAAAAATAATTTCTCATCAATTCAATTCTCTGAAATTCATTTTCTTTCCACTCAAATTCCACCTTTGCAATCAAACAAACCTTAAAAGTATCATTTTTCCTGCTAATATTTAAAGATAAGTTACTTTAAGCACAACTAAACTCATTATACTATTTTATTAAATTATCCTTGCATATATAGATCTGCAGTAACGCGAATATTAAAAGCACAAGAGACTTAAAGTTGGACATTAAGTTCTGCTCTCAAATTTTAGATCATTTGAAAGTTACATGTAATTCTAACTTGGATTATTCTATATGTACAAAATCATGTACAAAATCAATGACAAACTTGACAAGTGGTGGCCCCCTGTTGGTGGAGTGGTGGTGGGGCCAGCCGCCCCGCTAACAGGGAGCCACCACTTGTCAAGTTTGTCAAACTTTTAGTAATTGATTTTATACTTGTAGACTAATCCTTTTAACTTTTACACTAACGTTAATCATCGCTTGGGATCTAGATTCAGATATTTATATAGGATGTTGGGATTCAGAATCCACTTTAAAATGTTAGGACTTTAATACAAATGTTTAAGAATAACTAGTTTCGATTGTTGTCCCGTTTTTGTTTTAGGAAATGTTAACTTCATAATTTGCCTGATCAAGTTGTCACCTCTCTGTCTATCCAAGTGTCACTAGCACTAAAAAAAATTGCTAATTTCAAAGGCCATCGTTCAAGAAAACGGTCAGCGATCGTTTGTACTCGATGATTGAAACGAGAAAGTGAACTAGTGCAAGAGAGTTAGGTACAAGAAGATTTTGTTAGGGTTTACGTAACTTACCTTGAGTGCCCAATCACTCAGATAAATATTTTGAAGGATATAAGGCAAGCCAAGATGGGCTATTGAATGAGGTCCAAGTTCATAAAGAAATTGTTTAATTTGATCGAGCCCAATGCAATTGACATCATCATCGCTAATAAGATGCCTTATTCTACCGTGTGTACATCACGTATTTTATTGTTATAATAGGAAATATATACTTGGGAAGGACAATTGGGAATAGCAGAAATGGTTGAAAAGATAATTAGTAAAAGTCGAAGCACTAGAGCAACTTCTAATCTCGCACGGGAGCACGATAGTACACCACGTTACTGAAAGTTTTTAATTTTAGTAAATTATGCACCCAACATAATTTTTATATTTATATCCCCAATTTTTTCACATAAGTGTGGGGAAAATATTTTGTCGAATTTTTATATTGGTCACTATGGAACAAATGTGTTAATTAATCATGATTTAAGATAAAATATGATTAAAAAAGTTGAATATAAGTACAGAAATGAACAAAAGTTGATGGTCAAAATACAATGTAATTAACCAAGCCTATGACTGGATTCTTCGTAGAATTGAAAAGATTAAAAAAACACATGAGATATTGCTATTTATTCATGTTCAATGTGTTAATTATCCAGAACTCAACTAGATGAGACAAGTAACAAATGTTATTCTCTCACTTTTAATCTTGTTATAATAATATTTGCACAAGTGACGCCACGCCTAATATATGCGCGAAATTAGATTGAAGTAATGTTATCTATTAGTAGTGTCCCTTATTATAATAATATTTGCAGAAGTAATATCACAATCAACATTAATCTTAGTGATGGACGAATAATAGTTTGAATACATGAGTAAGCAATTAATAACTTTTTTTATTCAGTTAAGTTAGCGACTAATAATATAGGGATACATTTAATGGACCTTCATTTAACTAACTCAACAATTTAATGTCATCGATGTGCAACGTTCGATTTTCATATAACATGTGGCAGTTTCAGTAAAGTGAAAGTAAGGAATTTCAAACCAATGATGGATGGATGAATAATCGTTTAAATAGATCAATAACAAATTGAGGAATGAAGAACAACAAACACGAACACGGCCTAGAAGGTATTCTAGTCGTGCACAAGTCATCGTAGTTCGATGAATATTCCTTCCTTAAATGATCGGACACAAGCCTGCAAAAATGGAAGATTATAATTAGATAAACATCGAACGGATAGTATAATTGAGGAATGGTGTTTTATAAATAGTTGCTTCTCAAGTCCTTCTCAATAATCGGTCCTGTCTTAGTACACATTTTAGTTATAACTATGATTTTTTTGGTTGAAATTGAGGATGAAGATTTGGGCTGAGACATGGAAGCCACATTTCATGTATGGTGATTTTGGAGAGTTCGATGATTTCACTGAGTTGTAATTTTTAAATGGTTGTACCTTACCACGTGAATTGTCGTGCAACACATCAGCAACGAAGGGAAAAGAATGATGGATCTAGTGCAATTCTCAAAGCTAAAGGACCATTGGGAAGTATTTTAAAAATTGATGAGTATGTCATGACAATAGTATAAGTTGGATGAGTAATGAAAATATTTTACTTGGATGGTTTGGTTGAGTTGTATTTTTCTCAAGGATCATAACTTATCATGTAAGATTTTCGTTTCATACGTGAGCAATGAGGGAACGCCGAACGGAATCTGGTAGATGATGGATAAAGTGCAAACAAGCAAAATTCACTAAGCATTGTGAAGTACTTTGAAATTTAACTTGTGACCATGATATAATTTGGTAATCGAAACATATAACTCCGAGACAAGGCCTTTGCTTAAGCAGAAATTTTCAAGTAACCATATGAACCCCAAAATTCCAAAATCATTCTATTTCTACCTGATTATCTCCTACATGCAGGTGGCTACACTCATCACTGTCGCCAATGCCAGTGGCGTCAACCATGAAATCAGTTGGATGTCGATGAAACCGGGCTGCCAAAAATCAAAGGCACTGTCGTGGATTTGACATGAATTTTGAAATGAACGGGCGCATGTTAGTTGCCAACAATACAACAATATATAAAGCTATGCTGCGCTGCAAGCCAATAGTGTCCCCTGCTCCCTGAAAGGTGCATCATAAATCATCTGAAAACCGGGTGGTGAAGTAAACCCCTACAACCGCCAATGCTCCACCATTACTGACTGCCGCATATGCAAAGATGAAGAAAGGAATGTATTTATACGAGATTTCAGTCCATTGTTCTGTCCAATTCGGACCAAACATGTTCTTGGCAGAAAAAGTGTTCAGGTCCTCAATGGTTCATTTTTCCAGCTATTAGTGCACACACTCTCTCTCTAAAAGATGCTTTACTAGAAATACTCTCTTTATTGCTTCATCTTGGAGTCAACGTTAGCAAGAGCAATGAGAGAATATATTAATGATGCAAGAATTTCAGCACAAGACTGAGTTATACAAGGACATTACAGTCTACCTCGAACTAAGAAGGTATAAGGGCATTTTTGTCATATTGCAAGGCTAAAACTCGACCGGGGAGCCAATAATATTCAAGATGCAAACATACAACCATAGCACTGCAGCTTCTTTATTCTACCCAGCAATGGTTAATTTTTACACAATTCTTGATCTGAGTAAATCGTAGGCAATCCATTGCATATTTCGAGTACTTCGATAGCATTTTCTACGTTGTACTAAAAGGAACTGAGTAGGGTTAATAAAGAAGAGAAACGAGATGCTTGTTCATTATACTGTCAAATCCCATCCAATCCAGCATAATAAGCATACCTCATGAACACATACCTTAGAAGAAATTGGTCTCTTTTCATTGAGCTGATCTAATAATTGTAACTTTCTCTTCATCCTAGTTCATATCCAGGAACAGGTTTAACTTGGTACACAAAATTTGAATAAATAGCTTACAAGACTAGCAATTCAGTTGCCCTTTTTCTTGGAATTTGAAGACTTATAATTCATATCGTGCTCATATGGATATTCAGGAGAAGCTTTCCAGAGACCTACTAGTATAATCAAGTGAACCCCGAGCAGCAGTGCCGATGAATAAATATTTGAGGGATAGATATTCCAACAACACTCGACTGTCGCAAACAAAATTAAACTGCAGAAAAGATAGACTTCTTAAATTCTCGCGAAAACACCAAGGGTGCAAGTAAAGGAAAACAACGAGTTTCATTATCGAGCAGCATACCGTAGCCATGTTGGAAAAGGTGTTATCCACAATAAATAGGGTAAGCTATAGAAATACCTGCATAAAATGCTTCAACTATAAATGATAGCATTTCAAAATTGGATAAGCCTAATGGTAAGCAAAAGACATAATTGCATTGTAACATGGATATGAGATCCCAAAAATTGATATATTTTGCCCCTGTTTATAATACCCCTCAGTCATTTAGAGCATGTTTAGCTAAGCTATTAAAAAATAATAATAATAATTCTATACATGGATATGCTACCTT